GGGTTGGCTCGTTTAAATGCTGGCGTGAAAGTGAGTTCCGAGCTGCGCTAATGGAGTACCAGCAATTGCCGCCGCCGCCGCCGGTGCCGGGCGTGCTGCACCAGGCGCACCATCAACAGCATCAGCAGCAGCCGGTGCAACCGCCCCATCCTCACATCGTGGTCGCGCCTGCGCACCAACAGCAACCCCAGCAACCACCGCCGCCACCGTTACCGCCCACCTCGCACGGCCATCAGGTGCACGCGCCACTTCCGCCCATCCACGAGGACAGCACCAGCTCGCGTTGGAGCCAGTACCAGCATCTCTGGAGGCAGCACCATGTCTACGTGAATGGTAGGCGAAGGATTTAACCTGACTTATCGCGCGTATATATATTTGCGCATTTGACAGATAGTATTAGCCGTAATGTCAACCACTCTGTCTCTTCATTCGAGAGAAGAATTACTCGATCGAGGATCAGACACTTGTATGATTGTATCGATGTTCCATGGTCGCCTGGCCAAACGTGGTTTTCTATCCTCCGACAGCTCGAGATTATTTCTCACAGCAAGAATTTAGACGTGTTTGTAAATAGTAAATGTGTAAGGAGGATATATTAGAGATAGGTAAATAACTTACTCTGATAAATGGTAACTTACTAAAAATAACTTATTTTAATAATGAATAATTATAATAGTGATAATATCGTACTCTGATACTCGCTCTTACTCTAAATAACTTTGCTCTATGCGCCACGTTATTTGGCCACCCCTGGCTTTTATATCGTATGTGGGCTTCGCTTATCGCGAATTTTAGCCAGAAACCTTTTATATAGTGAACAAAACGTCTCTAAAATTTCCTTTCATCACGAGCACCGGATATATACGAGTATCTATAAAAATACATAATATACTTTAGTCATCGAGACGAGCTCTTTCTATTTTCTTTCTATTCGAATATTTACACGATAAGAAATTGTAATGAAAAATCTTTCTTAATTTATTCGGAAAAGACCGACTGTAAGTATGTTGATATCTTAAAAATTAAATAAAATTATATCTTAAAAATTAAATAAAATTTATCTTAAAAATTAAGTAAAAATAAAAATTTGAGGTTAGATTTTTTTCATTTGAAAGATTAAAGTTTGAAAAAAAAAAACATTCTAGGCCTTAGTCAACTATTGTAATGAAGAATCTTTCTCAATCTATCGCAAATCGGAGAAAAACTGGCTGTAGGTATGTTGATGTCTTAAAAATTTGAGGTTAGATTTTTTTCATTTGAAAGATTAAAGTTTGATGAAAATATTCTAGACCCTCGGCAAAATTCTATCAGGAAATTCAAAAAAGATTCGACAGTGCAATATTTACACGATAGGAAATTATTGTAATGAAAGATCTTTTTTAATCTATCGCAATTCGGTAAAGACCGGCTGATCAGTGAAAAAATTTGAGGTTAGATTTCTTTCATTTGAAAAATTAAAGTTTGTTTGAAAAGGAAGAAAACGTCCCTTGTCAAAATGTTGCCAGGAAATTCAGAAAAGATTCTACATCAAAATGGCAACTCGAGAAATTCGATCAGTGTGTGTGTACACTTTTAGCGAAAGGGTTAAAACAACAGATTGTAAATTTGCTGATGCGTGAAGGCGGGATTTTTGAATGGACGAAGCGCCCTCTCTTTGCTATTTGTTAGTTTCTTTGTTAGTCTCGCAGTTTTGTGTTTCTTTTTTTCGGAGATTAACATGGAACGCGACGCTGAGAAACTGGGAATATATTTGTTAGTTCAGGGCACTCGATTGTGCCATTAGTCACAGGACACCCTGTATATATCGTACTTTCCACACTCTGGCACAAAGCTCACGATGAAAGTAATTTTATTTGATCTATTTGACACGTGCTGAATTGTCATTGCTGAAACATTTTAAATACCTCGAAGTAGCTCGAAGAGAAGCAACTCGAGAAAGAGAAAAAGAAACAGCACAAAGAGTCATCACACCACGAGGTTTCGACACGTGACAAAACTGGAGGAACTGGTTTTCGTCGTTTTTCTCCCCGATCGCCTCTGTTGCAGGAAGAAGCGAGCATCGCCTTCGCGGCGAAAAAAGAAAAAAATTATTGCGACACGCGTTCGCGTCATCTCGCGTAATGTTGAACGCTGGAACTACCGACGATCGAAGCATGAAAATTTCCATTAGAAATTCCATTAGAGAATGAAAAGAATGGACAACAGTTTATGACACGATATTGTATGGGAACTTTTCTTTTTAAATTTAAACGATTTCACGAAAAGTCATCGAAATCTCTGGCAATGCACTAGAACTATTTCTCGAAGCACGAAAATTTCTCCTCGGAAATTCCATCGAAATGAAAAGAGCCGAGAAATCTTTACGATACGATCTTGCGTAGGAACGTTTTTTGTTTGCACGTTTTACGAAAGACCATTTAAAAAACAGATTGCTCTAAAATAAAAGCCTTGACGAATGTCATTATTCAAGTTAATTATTTAGCTAATCCAAGAAAATTAG